GGACTCTTTCTGATTCTTTCTGGAATTTTCAAAACAAGCACCCTTGTTATTCCTGGTAGTTTGAAGAATCTCTCAGGACTCTGAGGGACTGCTGATGGTTTATACGAAGCTGCACTGGAATTAGACTGTTATATTCAGGATCCGTGGCTGTTCGATGCCAGAACAACGCTGGCCGGAGCCGGGGTGATGCCCTGTGACTTGCCGAAGGTTAGGGCATGAGACCTTGTAGAGAGATCTGGGGATCCTATGTGGGGGCATCCTCAGGGACAGCATATCCCAGCGGTGGCAGATAAGGGCAAGGGGTTGGCAGAGACATACTTTGGGTGGGAACTGTATGCCTTTGTGGGAGGTGGGGGGAGAAATGGGTCTGTCCGAAGTTGGGGCCGATGAGGAGTGTTAGTGATCAGGGGCGGTCCTTTTCGGTGGAGGCAGCGGTCCGGCAGGGGGATGAGGGGAAAGGCGGGAATTTCTATATCCTTTGCTTGTATTTGGTTGGGACTCTTTCTGATTCTTTCTGGAATTTTCAAAACAAGCACCCTTGTTATTCCTGGTAGTTTGAAGAATCTCTCAGGACTCTGAGGGACTGCTGACGGAGTGTTCGGAGAATTGCGGTGAATTTCAGGAGGTGTTTAGTGATCCTAAAAAAGGATTCGTAATTTTCCCATCATCTATCCCGATTTTCTGTAGTTTGTTCATGATCTTGGAGGAGACTCTCAAGCCGAAACAGGGTAATGGCCTCGGTATCTCAATTTGTTCATAAATTGTTTTTACATGTCTTCATATGGGACGTTGGGCCCGATTCCCAGCACGTGCTGCTCCCCACGAATAGATTGGAGCATGTCTTTCAAAAAAAAAAAAAAGAGAGAGAGAGAGAGGGTGTCAGCCAATGTCTGATGCCGAGTTCGGTGCACCAAACTCGGCGTCAGACACTGGCTGACACCTCTCTCTCTCTCTCACGAGAATGAATCTTCCTCTTTATAGAGGAAGATTCATTCACGTTGAGCATGTATGACTTCGGCTGTTTTTTTTTTGTTTTTTTTTTTGGCAGAAAGTGGTATGTTTTTTTTTGTCTTTTTTTCTTTTTTTTTTCTGTGATGTACTACCGGTTTTCCGAGGCTCAGCAATAAAGTCCGAGGCTCGGGAATGATCGGGCTACCGGTAGTCCGAGCCTCGGACTTGATAGCTGGGCGAGGTACTGGTGGTTTAACAGTTTGAGAGTTAAGCTTGCGATAGTCGATGCATAAGCGCAACTCCTTGTTATTCTTCCGAACGAAGAGAACGGGTGCCCCGTAGGGCGAGCAGCTAAGGTGAATCCAGCGCTTGGCAATGAGGTCATCGAGTTGCGTTCGTAGCACTTCGAGTTCCTCCTCGCTCATGCGGCTGATACATCCACGCAGAGGTACGGCCCCGTCTTTGAGAATGATCTTGTGACGAATTGGCCGATCCGGTATGATTCCAACAGGGGCTTCAAAGACGTCACCATAGGAGTCAAGAAGCTCTACAATATATGGATCCGGTGGCTGTTCCGTCCCTGGCTCGTCGGGAGGGGGGAGGGCGTGCAAGAAGCAAATGCCCATTTCCTCCATGTCATTCTGTGCGATGGAGTTGCGAATGCTTGCCGTGGAGACCACGTGACAACAAATTGAAGGGTGAGGTGGGGGGCTCGTACATGGGACAAGTACCCCGTTCCGATCACGAACATGAACGGTGCGGCAGTCGAAGTTCACCGGGTGGTCCTCGCTGCTCAGCCACGACATGCCCAAAATCATGTTGAACTTTGTGTCCAAGATGTCGAAGGACACGGCCTCGCACGAGCGCAAGGCGAAGTACATGGGGACAGAGTCAACGCATCGGTAAATGGACTTGTGCGTACGACCATCGGCCAACGTGACGCCAGCGCACACCATGAAGCCTTGGCTGATGTAGTTGCGAGTAGCTCCACAATCAATCAAGGTGTTGCAGGTCGCATTCCCGATCTGACCGAGTATATAAAGTAACAGTGCGTTGATGTCGTCATACCGCTGCGTAGTGCACTCGCGGTCGATCTTCGCAATGTACTTGCGAAGGTCAACAACCGCTACTCCATCTTCCATCAATGGAGTTGGTACTGCAACATGCAAGTAGTTGCCTAGTTCCACCATCAGGGCGTTGCAATGCGGCTTCGGCAAGGAACCAGATGGGGAAAGAGGCGAGGTCCTCAAGTCTAGACCTACTGACGAGTCCCCAAGTAATGTCGGCGAGGATGTTGGTGCACTTGGCGATGGTGATGAAGTCGCGCACGCATATGACTCTTGCACGTGGAGAGGTTGGTCCGACTGAGGGACCAACTGGACAGCGCAGTCTTCGTAACTCTCTCAAAGACTTGCGACATACGCATGTTCCCCGGACGTGGAGGAGGTTGCTAGCAAGGCAACCATGTCCGACGGAGTAGGAAGTGGAGTCGCCTCACTTCCTGCGGAGCTTAGTTTCCTGAGCTTTCTCATGGGCGAACGTCTTCTTTGCCTTTGTCGAGGCATTGCGACGTCGTGTGCTTGGTGTTGTTGCACCAGTAGTAACAATTCCACTTTTGACGGAGCTCGTATTGCTCCTCCATGAGGCGGAATTTCTTCCATGGCTCATTCGGCTGTCCGACTTTCCTTGTTGACCCGGATCTTGCCTTCTTCGTCTTGCTGTTGCGTCGTGGCGGATGGGCGTTGACTCCGTCTCCTTCACTAGACTCGTGAGTCAGTGCCTGGTCATCATCTTGTCCATCTCATTGGACAACGACGACTTGCTGCGTCCACGGGCCTTTGCCCTTCTCCACAAATTTCGATTGGGTTCGCCGTTCATTGACGGCCCATCGATTTGATTGGATTACTTCACGCGCCTTGTCCACGATCTGGTCAAAGTCCGTGTACAAGCTGCGCTCCCCAAGGGCCGTGCTCAATGCGTCGATCGACCGCTGGAAGAATTCACAATGAAGATGCACAAATGGCATATCGAGATTCGGGGTCCGCCTTGTGGTAGCCATCGAACTTCCCGATGCCAAACTTCGGCATCTTGTACTATCTGGGCGTCATGCTGTTGCAGGTCCCGGTTGGTTGCTGCTGCAGCTGGAGCAGGTCAGCCTGTACTGCGGCCATTTGTTGACTAATGGTCGCTGGCCGTTGGAAGTTGTTCAAATTTCCGATGAGTGCTACCAGATGATCCATTCGTTCCTCTAGTTCGCCGATCCATGGATCGGTGCTCGAGGATGCCATGTGCCAGTGTGGCACGTCATCCTTCTCCAATTCCTCGAGGCGGGCGCGGAAACTCTTGTGAGTCTCCTCGTAGTCTGCGATGATACGCGCCTACCGCGCCAGCTCCACTTGTTGTCAATTGCAAGTGAGGAGGAGTTGGTGCATGAGGTTGGCGAGTGCTGACTTGGTCCATTCCTCCGCCGTCGGGTCCGGGTGCGTCTCCGTGGGAACAAAGGCCCATTCTTGAAGTGTCACAGTATGAGTCGCCTCTTGTTGCGTGAGGACGGACACTGCATCTCATCGAGCTCTATTATCGTTGGCAGCTGCTTCAGCGAGCTGCCGGCGCCGTTGCTCCGCGTCTCATGCAATGGCGTTGAGGCGTGCGGCTTCAGCTGGCTGCCGACTCGCGTCATTGTTTTTCTTGTACTTGCTGCATGTAGGTGGACAGGCGGGACATGAGGGCCGTCATTGTCTCACCCTGTTGCCGAACTGGCGCAGCGTCAAGGGCTCCCGCAAGTGTGGCACTGGGAACCACCTGTTGGACCTGTGGGACCAAGGAGTTCGCCGTGCACACATCGTGTGGACTGCCGGATGCGGCATTGTCCATTGTGGGGTTGCCCTATACCTCCATTGCAGAGGGGAGGGGCAAGGGTAGCTGCTGCTCTGCTGCAGCTGCCCGCCCTTCACATTCTGCGATGTGTTTGCTGCGTCGGAGCATAAGCTGCGGTTAGCTGTACTGTATAAGCTGACGTGGCCCTGCTGCTGACATGGCACTGCTGTCGTGGCACTTGCTGACGTGGCACTGCCGGAGTACAAAGAAGGATGGGGAGAAAACGTGCACACAGGCAAAGAACCGGACTGCAACTTCCACTCCCGGGTGCTAGTCAACAGAAAAAAAAAGAAAAAAAAAGCTCTACAAGGAATCGCAGAAGTTCCGAGTATTCAAATGGGAGAAATTCACGACAAAAAAAAGAAATGCAATTTCGGAAAAAAAAGAAAAATCTGCGAGGAGAGCTGAATTCCTATGAATTTCGTGAGGAATTGCAAAGTTGCAGAAAAGACAAGGAGAGGGGAACTCGTAAAATAAAAATTATGAATGGCCTATCCTTGATTTTACCAGGAAAATTTGCAGAAACCCTAATTTTGATGCGACTTTTAAAAAAAACGGCAACCCTGACCTAACCCTAATTGCCACTTATTTTCGGGATTTCCAAAATTCACAGATTCCGCAAAAGACCAAAATTTTCGGAATTCCCAGGATTCACTGACTTTTGCAGATTTCGTGAAATGCTGAAATTTTCGGTCCTGAAATGCGCGGATTTCACGGAATGCCAAAATTTTCGGATTTCTGAAATTCGCGAATTTGAAAAATGCTGAAAGTGCAAAATTATTTACAACAGAAAAAGAAAACGAAAGAAAAAGAAATTGCAAAACTTAAAATTCGTTAATTAGTTGTTAATCTTGATTAGGGTTAGTTTAGCGAATGCTAATCGCGGATTAGCGCTAATTCGTGATTAGCACAGATCTGGGGTTAGTGCTAATTAGCACTAATCAAGGTGACAACTTTACTAGAACAGAAAAAAAAAGATGCAGAAATTTGACGAATCCCTACTTAATCGATCAATCAACCAAGCAACCAATCAATCAATCAAGTTGGTTTCTTGATTGGGCAGATCCTCTTTCAAAAGGTCTGCTCCGATCCCAAACTGTCGCATACAAAGATGGTACAGGCCAGAACCAAGAACCAACATCTCACAGATAGAGCAAGATAGCACAGCGGAAGACTGGAATACTAATGATCAGACCCAATCAATGTCGAAATGCAGACTGGACATACATCATCATCATCACACGGTGTGAATGGCCTGGCGCCACACACAAGGACGAAGGTGCCAGGCCTAGCTCATACACAGATGAGGAGGGGGAAGAGACGAAGAAGAGGGGGGCGGAGATGAGAATGTCGCTGATATCAATCCCAAACAGTCCCCCCAACGTCTCTGCCCAATGTCGAGTCTAAATCCCAAATGTCATCAATCCCTCTCTCTCTCTCTCTCTCTCTCTCTCTCTCACGATCCAGTCAAGAGCTCACGAACCAGCAGATTATTGGTGGTTCTGCAAGGAACAGCTCCACAAGACTGCTCCTGCATTGTCTCGCATTATCAAGAAGCTCAAAGGGGAATACAAGTAGACCAATAAACAAGAAAAGTTTTCTAGGAGGACCTCGAAATTAGCCCGGCGCGGGTGAAAGGACTCACGAGTCTCAAGACCCAGCCCCGGCACTAAGGCCCGATTTCCCGTGTACTCTAGGTCTCAAGGATCTGCCCGCTTCGGTTCCTGTAGACAACAAAGAGGTAGTCCGCATAGAAACGGGGAGGCCTGAGTCCTTAGGAGTCAGCTGTTAGGTACCGGAAGCACATCAGTTCCAGTCAGTCCCAACAGGAAAGTCCTACAACAGGACCAAGCATTGGGAGAAGCAGGTGTCGTCGTTGTCTTCTTCTCATAAAGCCCAGGCAGTTGTAGAGGTTGGATACTAGACATATGACAGTCACCTTCCGTAGTCGGCCATGTGGTTATCCGGATGGTGAGGTCATCATTCCTTTCAGGACTCCCTACCAACCTACCACTATTTCACCATGATCTCCCAAAGCCCAGGCAGTTGTAGAGGTTGGATACTAGACATATGACAGTCACCTTCCGTAGTCGGCCATGTGGTTATCCAGATGGTGAGGTCATCATTCCTTTCAGGACTCCCTACCAACCTACCACTATTTCACCATGATCCCTGGGAGAAGCAGGTGTTAGATTGCAGAATCATTGCAGATGTCAAATCACAGAATCCTACGGCAGTCTGGGGCGATGTAAGTGAAAGAAGTGCAAAGAACGATTGCAGTGTGTTTCCTTTTGTTCCTTTTTCAAAGTTTTCTTAAAAACAGTGCCATATGCCTAGCGATGCTGATAAACTTGACGAGTTCACTTTCAACTTTTCAAGTACTTTTCACCTTTTCTATCATACAAGCCAGACACCATGGCACACACTTTTGCCAGTTCGCAAGGTCCGCTTGAGTACCAACATGTAGGCAACCACCAAATCTCATCCTCATGAGCCTGTTGCTGGCACAACCGGGCTCTAGTGGCTCCTATTTCCGTGAGAGTGGCAGCCCTGTGATATTTTAAATAAACAGCAATGAGCCGACCAGACCTTTTCTCATGACTTTCACTGACATATCAGAGGCCAAGGTTTCCTCTCTATACTCTACTACGATGTTTCACGCAGCCCCGTTTGATTCCACATACCAATCAGTGCTGCATAACCGACCGTAAAACACTACCATCAACATAGAAGAACTACACAGTCATCAGGACCTGTCAACCATTTGCTAGACAAGCCACAACCAAATGCACATCAAATTGACAAACAACTTGAAACAAGGATCAACAAAGCAAGCGCACCACGGTTCATTTCTTCCTATTGTCTTTTCCCCTTTCAATTTTCTACCCTGTCCAAAGCAGAGCTGGCAACCATGAAATGCATTCACGGTTGAAAAGTGTGAAGTTTCTCCTTTCCATGTACATGCCTGAGGAAGAAAGCCAAGCGCATTCCTCCCTCCAGTCCCATAAGAAGAGACGCACCACCTCTTCCTCGCCCCTGCGCCGAAATATTCGCTCACAAACTGCCGCCAAAACTCTATGTTATTATCCTGCAACAAACACGTCACCAGAGAGAATTAGCAAACATGTCTGCAGGACATGCTCCTCTGGAGCGGAAAGGGAGCCTGAAAGCCAATCAAAGCCATCACAAAGGAAAAACAAACATGTTCCGATGATCCTGAGAGTCAACGGTGTCCCTTCCCAGCGTCTGCATTTGGCTGGTAAGGCACATTTTTGACATGTTGGCCATTTGGCACTGGCCAAGGACAAGGGTTCTCCCCGACTTTGTGAGGGATCCATCCTCTCTTTTGCAGTAAGATGGTTGCAATGGTCTCACCAAGCCACTCCCAATTCCATGTCCATGCAAGTCCACAGATTGTCACTCCAAGCTCCATGCACGGGATATGGAATGAAGACGATATGAAAACCTCAAATTATTATTACAAAGCAAAGAATGATGAACCAGTTCCAAGTTGCATACACTGCAGCTATGGCTGCACCGAGCGTGCAACAGGTACATGTGACTCTCTCTCTCTCTCTCTCTCTCTCTCTCTCTCTCTCTCTCTCTCTCTCTCACACACACACACACACACACACACACACACACATGGGTCCCAGCTATGGCACTCCACTCTGTTGAGTACACTACTCCAACCCTCTCCCTTAGGTCACACTTGGCTGTACAAGAGCTTCTACGACAAACCCAGGTGGGAAATTGTATTGTCACCTTCTTGCTGTTGGACTTGTACTTGACTGTGGCTTCCAATCTCGGATGTTTCTGACCTGTACCAGTCCGTGGCCTTTTGGCCACAACTGCTTGACTCTTCTCATAGCTACCAGACTTACCTTGGACTGCGCCGCTGTCTTGGGACTTCCGAACAGGTGACATCTAACGACCTACTGGACTGACTGTGTGGATGGACCTAGCGGACCCTACAGCTGCGTCAGTAATACTAGGCCTACCGGTTAGGCCATTATACATGGGACTAGGGACTTTGGGAATTCTGCAGTCAGAACCGGAACTTGGGCAGACATGAGTGAAACCCTTTCATTCCCGCCAGCCTAATTTCGAGGTCGACCAAGAAACCTACGGCCATTCTCCTCTATCTGCAAAGCACAAACCTCCATTGGCCCACTCATAGTGTGAGGTTATGTCAGTGGCTGTCAGTCTCACTTCTTTCCTTGTGTACCATCTATCATCCTCGGGTTCTTGATATCGGAACGACTCTTGTCTCGTGTTCAGGGCCGTCCCCTTCTCAAGAATCATGGACATCTTCGTCTACTATTCCGTCAATGTTGTGTCGAACATCCATCGCAGGGGAAACCATTGATTTAAGTGAATGGCACGCACGAGTCGAGAAATGGTTCATTTAAAAAAAAGGTAGTACAGGGCAGCTGCTTGGACGCACTGGACACGAGGTAAGTGCGTAAATGTGGAGGTATGTCGATAACATAGGATTGACCATCAACATCTCCTACAATACCGGGAACATCCCACAGTGCTCTGTATGCAGGTAGCAATTTTTGGGGATACTTTCCTCTGGTACGAACTCTAGACTTTACCCATACCAAACCTCAAACAGATGGTCGCTAGTGCTTATTAGCTTGATGTATCATTTTTAGCTGGGCATGTCTAATGATTTTAGTAACTTTTAAATCAGATCTCATGTGCGTCTATCGCTATATCAACAAGTTTGAATCCAGATTTCATCAGATGAAGAGAATAACAGAGCAAAAAAGACATGAAACACGTTGAATATAAGAAAACAAAAAGCAACCAAAATAGGTAGGTTCGCTCGCCGTGGCAAAGTGCACACTGTCTCTGTCAGCAGTGTTTTCCATGAAGAGGCGTAGACTTCCACAGTCAGCCCACAGTTGAAACGGGAGGAATGCATCCTCTCTCTCTCTCTCTCTCTCTCTCTCTCTCTCTCTCTCTCTCTCTCTCTCTCTCTCTCTCTCTCTCTCTCTCTCAGTACCAGGTTCCTTCAACCTAATAAGAAACCTTCCCCCATGCAGTACCAGGTTCCTTCAACCTAATAAGAAACCTTCCCCCATGCCCATCTGTCTTTGTATATCCTGGACGCACTTCACGCTTCGCTAGGTCGATCTCTTTGTATTGCAATCTCAAAGCCTCCTCGCACCGCTGCCAACTCTCCCACAAATACAGAAACATCGCAGCATCCCGGTAAGCCTCCGCCTCTCGCACCTCTCCTTCAGTACCAGGTTCCTTCAACCTAATAAGAAACCTTCCCCCATGCCTATTTGTCTTTGTATATCCTGGACGCACTTCACGCTTCGCTAGATCGATCTCTTTGGATTGCCCTGCACCGCTGCCAACTCTCCCACAAATACAGAAACATCGCAGCATCCCGGTAAGCCTCCGCCTCTCGCACCTNAGATCGATCTCTTTGGATTGCCCTGCACCGCTGCCAACTCTCCCACAAATACAGAAACATCGCAGCATCCCGGTAAGCCTCCGCCTCTCGCACCTTTTTTAGGATCTTCACTTTGTTACGAATGTACGCAAGAACCATAGTGCTCTCTCCTCGTCTTCCTCCTCCTCCTCCTCTCTCTCTCTCTCTCTCTCTGTGTGTGTGTGTGTGTGTGTGTGTGTGTGTGTGTTCACGTGTGTGCGTGCGCGCACACACATACATACACAGACCTGTGTTGTGTGTCATGAAAAGGTGGAGAGTTCCGTTCACATTCGGCCGACAAAACACAATAGGTAGGATGGCACGGCATTGCTCTCTCTCTCTCTCTCTCTCTCTCTCTCTCTCTCTCTCTCTCTCTCTCTCTCTCTCTCTCTTCCCCCCCTCCCCCCCCAAACACACACACAGATTGGCATAGCGGGTTGCAGGACACAGCCCCTCCTTCCATCTTCAAGATGCTCTGGGAGTGCTCATGTACCGGGATGTTGTTTCCTCGCCCTCCAGGAGCATCTGGAAGGAACGGCGGCATTCGTGGTGGGGGCCCGCTGCCGTACTCACGGAATGCATAAAAGACAAAATACGGTGGTGCATCTCTCCATATTCCCATGGAAGATTCATTCTCGTTTTGAAAATAGGATGAATTATGCGGCGAGGCCCTTGGAGTGGCCAATCCATGCTATGTACTTGCATTCAAACATGAGGCCGGGCGATACCACAATGGGTGCCCTCTCCCGGACACAAGACGGCGCCGCACAGCCCTCCAAGCCACGCTCTGAAAAATATAACAGGCGTGCTTTTCCCAACAAGGCGCGTCCCTCCCGTGCCACTGATTCACCATATTTCCGTGGGCCCACTAGGGAGCATCACGCCCGGCCCGGGTTTACTTTTATAAGGAGTGCATAAGCGTCACAAGATATACAGTCCGCAAGTTTGGGAACTTGCAGAATGCTTGACCCAACACTGACACAAGCCCTTGCCAACAATTGACTTCTCAGGGACCTCGTTAAGGGAGAATCATACAGCCAACAAGCCACCGCATGCTTCTGCATCCAAATTTCAGACTGCCCACTGTTCATATCTTCTCTCTCAAGTCTGTGCAAGAGGGGGAGGGAGAGATAGAGAGAGACAATGCTAAACTTAAACCAGCAATATGTTTCCCAGCCATTTTGTGCCAGGGCGGCAATTAACAAGACACAAAATCGTGGGTCAGGCCTAGCACATGGAGAGAAGCTGGCGGCGTGTGGGTCAGACCTAGCAGATCTAGAAGCCGGTGGCATCAGGGACGTCGAGCATCATGCCAGTCCAGCTGGAACTGGTGCGAGACAAAAATCCACGTTCGGGAAACGAGGGAGTGGATGCACTTAAAAGCGAAAAAAAGATTGTGGGCAACAACCGTCAACACATCCCAGCAAAGAGAATCAGGCAAGCATCAGTCCAGGTCTGCCACTGCAATGGACAGAAGGAAAACGACAGTTAAATGTGCCAACTTTAAATAAAACTCAGAAACTACACAAACCGAGGCTACCAGAGTTGCCAGGCCCAGGTCGGCTAACAGAGTCGCCTGTCCGGGAGACCCGGCAAACCTGCCTGGGGTGGGGACCCGGCTGGGGTACCTGGGCAACAGTAAAAGTGGGGTCTTTTCGCCCACTGAGATGTGCCCATATCCGGCCTAATCTTTGAATTTTGGTGAAGCGTCACCAAAGGGTGAATATGCAGTATGAGCGGGGCTCAAAGGGGCTTGAAGGGGTGTAATATAATTTAATGTTTTTTTTGTTTTTTTTTTTCAAATTTCATTACAAATTCCGGGGTGACCCTCAGCCAAAAGATGTTTGATTTGAAATTCTGCATAACATAGTTTTTTTACCAGGTTTTTTTGCGTTTTTTAGTTTTTTTACCAGGTTTTTTTGCGTTTTTTTCCTGCACTTGGACTATCCGGGACCTTGACCGGGACTTTGCCCGGACATGGCCCAGCCTGGCCGCCCAGGCCACTCTGAGGCGACCCGCGCAGCCTGGCTGGTAGGCCAGGCATAAAGGAAAAATCTTCAGCATACATTCAGACCTCCATGCAATGGATAAACCTATGTATCTCACCGCCGCTCTGCAAACTACAATCACAATAATGTGGAGGGGACCAGACTCCACCCTCTCATTACAGCAGGACAAAACCCGGTCTAGTGATCAGACGCCAAGATCATGCTGGTGCACCACTACAGCTCGGTCTGGTAATCGATAGGCACCAATCCTTATGAAAGCTGGACACAGTGACACACCCATCACAGCCCATGTGCCTCGTTTCTTCTATAGCATAGTCCCCCTCAACAAAATATTCACTTCTGGGTAAATCAAAGAGCCACATTATACCAATGGGCCTAGCTCGGACGGTAAACCCATGACCTGTTTGGAATGCAGACCTCAGTTCGAATCTCAATCAACTCAGATGAGTAAACAACTCTGAATTTACCTGGGGCTAGTCAGTTTGAAGATGATACCACAAGGTCATCGCTCTCTTTCAGAAGGAAAAAAAAAAAGAGCCCCGTTATGCTAGCTTTTGCTGCAGGAGCTGATTCGTTGTCCTCCTCAAAGGACTATTTTGACCCCTATCAGTAGTCGCCATGACAAGT